TATATTTTTTCACCTTGTTCCCCACTTGGGTCACTACTCCCACAATCTCATGCTTGTAATTTCATAACAGAGTAATTAATATATTAAATTGGGTAATGATTTTAGAAGGAAAATATGAGAAGGGATTGGATTAGCATAACCAAGAACAACATACCTAGGAACAACAGGATAGGATGAAAATCCATTGTCATTTTTGACCATATGATATGATAATCAGAATGACAGATCTCATAATAAATCATTATATCCAAATAGCCAAACTCGCTTGCTTTCTATCTAGCACTCGAAGTGCAGGTGATCTAATACACAATATTTCAAACAACACTACACCAAATGAATACACATCAGATTTTTCTATGAAAGTACTTTGTAAAAAAGACGAAAAAAAGTTAAAAAGTGAAGAAGAAGAAATCAAGGAGAAGAAGATGAGAAAGGAAGAGAAAAGTGGCAGATGAAAAGTGAAGAAGAAGAAATGGAGGAGGAGAAGATGAAAAGGAAAAGAAAAGTGGCGGATGAAAAGTGAAGAAGAAGAAATGGAGGAGGAGAAGATGAAAAGGAAAAGAAAAGTGGCAGAGAACTGGAAAAGACAAGGAAAATGAAAAGGGAAGAGAAAAGCGGCGTGAACCCATATATACTTAGGGACTTTTGTCTTTAAATTGGTTTTAAAATCTGGTTTTGGTTAACTGGTTTGAAAAAATCCATAAACCGAACCGAATAATCGGTTTATGGATTTTTCCAAACCAAAGTTTCGGCTCGGTTTAGTTTTTGGACTTTTTTCCCACCTCTAACTTCATGAATAGAAAACCATTGAATGGAATGATCCTCAAGCAACAAATGTGAGCTTTTGAGTGCGTGGACCAATGCATGCAGATACTTTGACTTGTGCTTCTTCTAGCATAATGTTGTCATCAAATAAACCCAAACCCATTCCACATTTCAACAAGTCTATAATGGAAACATCATCAGAATATTTCATTAGACAACAAAGCAAAAAAGTTGACTAGAGTTCCTCACCTTCCAAACAATTGTAACTCAACTCTATACTTGAATAAACCTCCACAAGTATTCTGGTGAAGTTATTCAATGAAGGCCTTCCTAAACCTTGAAAGGCACTACGCCATACAGATACACTTTTGCCTCTTAATGCAATTACAATTGAAGCAATAGCAAGAGACAACATCAAAGAGGTTATTTTTAAGTCTCCTTGAATCATTTTTAAGTCTGGATCGGGGTTACCTTTGCAAAAATCACAACATCAAAGAGGTTATTTTTCTCGACTCGAGTAGCAACTTGTTTCACTAGACAGTCTTGCCAATGCCACCTATTCCATACACCTCAATCATGTTGACATCAGGATGATCAAGGATTAAGTCGTATATATGCTCCAAAACGTCTCTTGATCCAAAGGTTTCATTATCTTTAGTAAAAGTAAGCCATACATTGGGCAGAATAATAGTATACGAAACTCTATCACTTCTTCTTGGAGTTTAGCAACAGCCTTTAGCTGACTCACTACTCCGTTGCCAAGTGATAAAAGGTAATCAAATTAGGACACAACCAGATGAAACAATGGGTATTTGCTTTCTGCTCAAAGCCTTTAAAAGTCCTTTTTGTACCATCAACGAGCTCTTCAACATTAGTCATCCATTTCAAAACATCCTCAAAAATCATTTCTCCGTTTCTTCTATAAAACTTCATCCTATGCTTCACATGCTCTCTAGCATCCATCAGTTTCTCAACTTTAGTAATGAGATTCACATGGTATCTATTGTAGTTCCACAAGGAAATAAATGGATTTTGGCTTGATGTAATCAAACTGGAAATTGTTCAAAGTGATGATATTTTGCTAACAAACTGTTTTTGTTTGTCAACTGAAGCTGGAAAATTGTCGTCGAATGCAGAATTTGAAGTGATGAAGAATGGCCTAGGAGCAGTTCACCAAAGCTGATTTTTGGCCATGATGAAGTGATTGTTTTTGGTAGGTTCAACACACATTAAGCTGTCAACTTTATTTCATGTTAATGTGATGTAAATTTAGTTGTTAAAGTTGTACGGTTAGGATGTATTTTGATGTTAAAATGTGTCTGAATGTCAGGTACAACAGTGACACAAAGTTTTATAAACTCTGTTTTTTCCTAATGAATTCAGGTAGAACTTTGTCGTCAGCTTTCTTATCTCATCTTTCTTCTTAGTTCTCTCTGGTGTCTTAGTCTATGTTCCAGCTCCAATAACCAACAATTGGTATCAAAGCTTTACTTGATCTTAAGGGGCCTGCAAAGCTTACATTCTGCACTTTCTCATTTAGTTCTCATTCCACCTAAACCTACCTTCATGGCAACAAGTTCAGCCTCATACTTACCTCTAACCTTCGATGGAGAACAGTACCATATATGGGCTGTTAAGATGAAGGCTTTCCTAAGAGGCCAAAGCTTATGACAGTATGTAAAAAAGAAGAAGCAACCACCACAGTTGGCGCCAAAGCCAACCTTGAATCAAATAAGAATCCATGAAGAAGAAATTGCAAAAGCTCCAAGAGCTTTGTCTCATATACATGCTACTACTACGAATCAAGTCTTCACAAGGATAATGGCTTGTGAGATAGCAAGGGAAGCTTGGTACAAGCTGAAGGAAGAATTGGAGGAAATAGTCAAACCTGAAATATGCAAATCTTGAACTTAAGGAGAGAGTTTGAGACACTAAATATGCAAGAAACTAAAGTGGTTAAGTGAAGCAAACCAAGAGGACTGAGGGGGTTTTCACCGTGTTCTCATTGTAAAAAAAAAAAAAAAAAAAAAAAGAACCATATAGAGAGTAAATGCTAGTTTAGACCAAATATTCAATGCAGAGCATGTAAGCAATCCAGCTACATTGAAAAGGTTTGCAAAAAAAAAAAAAAAAAACCAAATTAGCCAACACGACAAGCACAAATGGTTGAAGATTAGCAACAAAATCCAGAGTCAAAGTAGATGTTTGTGGCCTCCTACTATGCTACTCAATTTAATGCGCAAGTTTGGCTAATTGATAGTGGGTGTACCAATCATGTGACACCTGATTTGGAGAATTTTGTCAACTTAGACCAATCATACCAGTCAAGAATAAAGATTGGAAATGGTGACTACATAAAGGTTAAAGGCAAGGGGGATGTGGCTATGTAGACCTTGATAGGTACAAAAATCATTACCAATGTTTTACTTGTGCCTGAAATCAATCAAAACTTGCTTAGTGTAGGACAGATGCTAGAAAGAAACTACACTTTGCATTTTAAAAATCAATCCTACACAATATTAGACAATGAGGGTAATGTGATGATGTATGTAAAAATGGTGGGAAAGAGCTTCCCAGTTGAGCTTAAAACATCAGAATTTCAAGCCATGTATGTTAATACAGATGACACAAACCTATGGCATAAAAGGTTTAGTCATTATCACTATGCTGGTCTTAGATGAATGAAGCTCAAAAACATGGTTCAGAGCTTACCTGAAATAGAAGAGAATGAGAGTTTGTGTAATGCATGCCAAGTAGGGAAGCCTAGCAGACCTTCCTTTCCAGCAAACTAGGCCTGGAGGGCTACCAAAAAGCTTCAAGCAGTACACACTAATGTGTGTGGACCGATGCAGATCTCATCCCTAAATGGAAGCAACTATTTCACCTTGCTTATTGATGATTACTCAATTATGACTTGGGTTCACTTTCTAAAACAGAAATTTGAGGTTGCTATTTTGTTTAGGAAGTTTAAAACTCAAGTTGAAAACCAAGCTGGTGCAAGTATAAAGGCTGTGAGAAGTGACAATGGGGGTGAATATACCTCATGGGAATTTAAATCAATATGTAGGGATGCTAGAATTTGGCACTAATATAGCAATCCTTACACTCCTCAACAAAATGGGATGAGTGAAAGAAAAAATAGAATAGTCATGGAGATGTCAAGATGCATGTTAGCTGAAAAAAGTTTGCCAAAAGAGTTGTGGGCAGAATCTATAAACACTGGTGTATACTTGTTGAATAGACTTCAAACTAAGGCTTTAAAAGATCAAACTTCATTTGAAGCATGGTATGGAGTCAGACCTCAAGTGAACCATCTTAGAATCTTTGGTAGTGTCTATTATGTCCTCATACCAGCCGTCAAGAGATCCAAACTTGTTGAAAAAGCATAAGCTGGAATCCTAGTTGGTTACAGCCACCAATCCAAGGATACAGAATCTATATTCTGGAGTCTAAGAAAGTTTTGATTTCCAGAGATGTGAAGGTTGATGAGATGTCAGTTTAGAACTGGGAGGAGAAGAAAATTCAAGAAAATGCAAGGCCACAGCAAAAGGAATTAGCTGCTGACCAATATGATGAAATAGATTCTGATGTAGAAGAAGAAACATCAATTAGAGGGACCAGACCTCTTGCTGAGATTTATGGAAGATGCAATGTAGCTGTACTTGAACCATTATCCTATTTAGAGGCAGCCAAGTCAGAAGCATGGATAATTGCAATGCAAGAGGAGTTGTCCATGATAGAAAAGAATGGAACATGGAAGCTTGTGGATAGACTTGCAGATAGAAAGTTGATCCAAGTTAAGTGGATCTTCAAGAGAAAATTGAATCTTGATGGTTCAATTTTGAAGCACAAAGCAAGACTTGTTGTCAAAGGTTTTGCACAGCAACATGGTGTAGACTTTCAAGACACATTTGCACTTGTTGCTATGCATGACACAATTCAACTGATCCTTGCATTGGCAGCTCAGTTCGAGTGGAAAGTTTACCAAATAGATGTCGAGTCAGCCTTCTTAAATGGTTGGCTTAATGAAGTAACTTATGTTGAGCAGCCTGAGGGGCATGAAGTTATAGGGAAAGAACATAAAGTTTATTTGCTAAAGAAGGCTCTATATAGCCTAAAACAGGCTCCCTAAGGGCTTGGTACAACAGAATGAATGAGTACCTGGTCAGCCTCGGATATGCAAGAAGCCCAAATGAGCATACTTTGTATGTGAAGAAATTTAATAAGATGTGATCATGGTTTTCTTGTATGTAGATGATTTACTGGTGACAGGAAACAATTCCATTCATGTTGAAGAGTTTAAGAGCACAATGCACAAAGAATTTGAGATGACTGACTTGGGAGAAATGACTTGTTTTCTAGGAATGGAAATACATCTATCTCAAGATGACATTTTCATATGTCAAAAGAAATATGCTAATGAGATTTTGAGAAAATTTGGCATGGAAGGTTGCAAATCCGTTGGAACTCCTTTAGTGCAAAACCAAAGGTTGTGTAAAGAAGATGAAGCAACCTTGGTGGATGAAACAAAGTATAGAAGCTTGATTGGGAGTTTGCTATATTTAACAGCAACAAGGCCTGATCTTATGTTTGCTTAAGTCTCTTATCCAGATTCATGAGCAAACCATGTGAGGAGCACCTCAAAGCAGCTAAGAGAGTGCCAAGGTACATCAAAGGGACAACAGATCATGGAATCTTGTTCAAGAAGTTTGAAAACTTCAAATTGGTGGGCTATGCTGATAGTGATTGGGGTGGTTCTTGTAATGATATGCGAAGCACATCAGGATATGTTCTCTTGCTGAATTGTGGAGCCTTTTGTTGGTCATCCAAGAAGCAAGAAATATTGGCTCAATCCACTGCAGAAGCTGAATACATATCAGCTGCTGCTGTAGTAAATCAAGTGATATGATTGAGGAATATGTTGAATGATTTGGAGGTGAAACAATGTGAGCCTATTGAAATTTTTTGTGATAACAATTGACTGTAGCTATGGCAAAGAATCCAGTCATGCATGGTCGAACTAAACACATAAAAATCAAATTTCATGCAATGAGAAAGGCTGAGCACTGTAGGGAAATCAGATTACCCATTGCAAGGGAGAAGATCAATTGGCGAATATCTTTACAAAAGCCCTATGCAAGTCCAAGTTTGAAGATCTTGAGCTCAAACTTGGTGTTTTAAGCAAAAATATCAAGGAGGAGTGTTCAAAGTGATGATATTTTGCTTGAAACAAACCGTTTTTGGTTGTCAGCTGAAGCTGGAAAATTGCTGGCAAGCAAAATTTGAAGTGATGAAGAATGGCCTGGGAGCTGTTCACCGAAGATGATTTTTGGCCATGATGAAGTGATTGTTTTTGGTGGATTCAACACACATTAACCTGTCAACTTTATTTCATGTTAATGTGATGTAAATTTAGTTGTTAAAGTTGTATGGTTAGGATGTATTTTGATGTTAAAATATGTATAAATGTTAGGTAGAACTTTGTCTTCAGCTCTCTTATCTCCTCTTTCTTCTTAGTTCTCTCCCGTGTACTTAGTCCGTGTTCCAGCTCCAATAACCAACAGAAATCTCCTCTGGAATTGGACAGAAGGAAATTTGAAGGAATTTTCCTCCTTGAGAAAGGAGTAAATCCATAGCCTTAACTTTCTTAATAAGCTTATGACGTTTTCCCAAATTACGACATAACCCACCGAGACATCTCTTTTCTTCTTTCCTTTCATCTTCAGTAATCTTATCTGCCTCATCGATCTACACCAGACAGCGACATCCTAATGCCGTTTTCTACATCTTCCCCATTTCTTTCGGCAACCTGAATCTTGTGCACCACACGCTGTTTGACAAGCCTCTGCTTCTCAATTCGTGTATTGAGATTCTCAAAGTTGGTCTTGAAGTTGTGCAAATAACTAAACTGATCTCCGATCAAATCAGTGCAGGATTGGAGAGCCGAAGAACTAACTGATTCCACCAGTTTTCAACCACTTCTCCTGGGAGGTAAATATGAAACAGAGACCGCAAAATAAGAAAACGAGGCTGGAATGGCGACTTTATAACTCCATCTTCGTAGTAACTCTAATAACTTCACCTCTTCATTTTCTCATCACAGTAAACACAAACAATGGACCACCGGCCATGGCAACTCTATAACTTCATCTTCCTAGTAAAAATCCCCGATTAAACAAAAACAAAAACACCCACAATTGCGACTCTATTTCTTCATCTTCTTCTTTCTTCCCCAACTCTTCATAAACAAACTCCTCTCTTCTCTCTCTACAAACCCACCACCATTAATCCCTCTCTCCAAGCCTTCCTCGCTGGCGTCGCCAGCTTCTTCTTCAGCGTTCTAATCTTCAGAGCGTTAATAGTTTCTGAAACCAAGTTGCCAACTTGTACTTTCATTAAAACTAGGTTCCAATAGCTCAAAGTCAACATAAAATATTACAAGCATTAAACATGGGTCTTGTCTTGTCTCCAAGAAAATCCAATTAGGATCTTGATCTTAGCTGCAATTTCCACCAAATTTCCTTTAGCATTTAAATTTTAATGTGTTCTTGGTCGCATCACATAATGCCTATAGAAGTTCTAATCATACCGCGTGTAGTGGTTTGTGAAAATACTTATATTCTCATAAGCCTACTATGGAACCCAACAAATAATCACATTAGATATCAATAATAGCATTATAATTAAGTAAATTATTACGCCAAAAAAACCCAACGGATCAAGTTCCTGCGGGTTTTTACCCAAACGGGTTGGTAAATAATTACCCGCTCGGGTTGGGTTGGATTATGAATGCCCATACCCAAACTGTTTTACCCATTTAAAATTATTTAAAAAAAGTACTAGTTTTTATACACTTTTAATATAAAATTGAAACAATAAATGGATAAGAGTAATGTTAGTCTTACTTACTCCTCCTATTCACTTTTTTTACTCACCTTTATAAATATAAAGCATAGTACGAGTACCATAAATATAGTACGGATACCATATATCATTTTAACAAAAGTGAGTAAGAGAAATGAGTAAGGGGAGTGAGTAAGGCTAGCATTTTTCAATGGTTAAATCCATATTAACATATTTAATGCAAATATATGTTTAATATGCTTATGCTAAGTTTTTAAAAACTTTTAAGTACACTATTAATACTCTTAATTCTTTTGAAAATTGTTACTACAATAGTTATAATTACATACATTTGCTTCTAAATAAAGAAAGCAAAATAATCATGGAAGCTAGTTACGTTAAATAAAAAGATATGAAATTAAATTGATCAAATAATTTTTTCTTAATTATTTTCATCATAATTATCTTGTTTAACTATCTTTCCAGTTACTTAATTCTTTCCACCTTAATTATATTGTTTATTTACATAGATTAATTATATTGTTTTCGTCCATGCATGGCTTAATCACTTCGCCATAATTATGTTTCTTTTGCCTTTCTTGAAATAATGGAGCTTTGAGAAGTTAAAATTTAGACATTAAATTGGTTTACTTTGCTAGGAAAAATCTACAAAGATTTTTTTTCTTTTTTCTTTTTTATTGTTAACAGATTTTAAAACAATAATAACATTAAAGTTACAAGCATAAATATGGATCCGAATAGACATTGGACAAAATTATTTAGGGTAATCATATGTACATAGGATTAATTATATAACAAATTGATTAAAAAAAATGTCATAAAATTCAAATCTTGTATTTAAGAAAATAAGATTAAATCTTGCCAAATTGATAGATTGATTTATATTTTATTATTAGTTACTATGATATTAAAACAATTTTAATATAGAAGGAAGTATGAATAATTTGAAGAATATTTTCATCTTGGAATAATATCAACTTGTTTGTATTTTCCATATTTTATAATCAATGTTTTAAATATAAATTAGGATATATAATATGTCGAGTTAAAATACACACACCCAAAAAAAAAAAAACTAAAATTATAAATAATAATATTAGATATAAAACAAATCTTATAAAGATTTATATATAAATTGATGAGACATATAATAAATAAAAAAATAAATATAAAATATCAAACCCACCATACCTACCCATCAATGAAATAAAAAGATATCTAAATCCTGCAATTTAAACATTAGAGATTCAAAACCGCGTTGAACTCCAACATGCTATAAAATAAATAAATAAATAAAAGGTAAATATATAAATAATTAAAAAAAAAAAAAAAAAGGCATGCTGTTCGTGGCCCGCATGAACATGTTATGGAAATATCGTCCCTCTTATTACTGTGGTTGACTGACTTATACTGAGTAAACTGGAAATATCATCTCTCTTATTTTGAGAGAACTTCCTCCGGTTTTGAGGTGCTTCAGAGATTCCGGAAACGACGAGAGGCAGTAACCAGACAATTTTCCAGGTTCGTTTCAAACTATTTTGGGTAGAGCAACAAGAAGAATTAATGTCAACGCTTTTTTTTTTTTTTTTTTTTCTCTTTTAATCATCTTTCACTAAATTCTCAAAGTCTAATCAAAATCACTAGAGTGGAAACAAAAGTAGAATCAGCAATAACTTTTGGCTTTTAGGATCAATAGGAGTTTATTTATTTATTTTTTGCCTGAATTTTCCATAGTTTGGTTTTGAGACAAGAAGAAAAGTTTCTGGAAGTGTCAAATATATTATGTATGCATACTGTCAAAGTTTATGAAATTTGGATGTTTGATTTACACAATTTGAACATAAAGTACGAATATCTATGTTTAATTGAGTGAAAAAGCTGTTAATAAAAAATTTAGATGATATATGTAGATGGAAGTCTAGTTACTTAAGTTACTTATTGAGATCTAAAGTAATGACCTTAACTTTGCATACATATATCTTTACTGTATAAAGAAACCCTCATCACAAACGTAGATAAATGGATCATTATCAATTCATTTTTTTGAGATTCTGTTACTTTAAATTAGTATCAGAGCCAAGAATATAGAGTTGTTTTTTTTTTCTGTTGGAAATTTTCCTACAAATTCTCAGTAGCAAAATATGTCTCAGAAACTAGCTTTGCTTCAAAACAATATAATGAAAACATGAATGTGGTTGGCAATAAGTGGGTTTTTAGAGCTAAGTATCATGCTGAAGGAAGTATACAAAGATAAGGCTAGATTAGCAAGCAAAGGTTTTCAACAAGCCCTTTAAGTAACAGAGTATATGTAGTTAGCAGCCTGCGGATTTTGAAGATTATATGGAGAAAACAAACTCCCTGACCTAGGTTTCATTAGCTAAAGCTAGCAATATTGTGATAGTGATTTTGATGTTCCAAATTTGATTGCAATTTATTCATTTACAGTGCTAAATAATTGTTTAATTTATCTATTAGTATATGTGGATGATATGTTCAGGAAATGTTTTTACAGATAATTCGCTAGTTTGGTTTGAAGACTCTAGGATTAATTAGCTACAATATCATCTTTGAAGCTCATAGGTATTCTGCTAACCTTTCACTAACTTAAACAAAATACCTACATGATTTATTAGCCAACCCGAAATTATCTCCAACTAAAACTTGTGTGACAGCCCATTTTTTGATCAGCCTTCTCTCTACATATGTATTATTGAAAGGCTGCAACATCTCAGAATGAAAACACCCAATATTTCTTATTTTGTAAACAAGCTTAGTGATCCATTCTTGCAAGCCCCTAATAATCACCTTTGGCAAGCCTACAAACGAATTCTTAGGTATCTCAAGGGTATAGCAACCTGTGGCTGCATTTCTGTCCTGCAAATGCTTTAACTGTTAAAGGTTTTGTAGATGCTGACTGGGCTAGCAGCGTTGCTGATAGATGATCTACTTAAGGCTATTGCATCTTCTTAGGTTGATTGATTCATTGGAAACAGAAAGTGCTAGATAAATCAGGCACATAATCTATATAGATCAAATAGTTTGGTTACAAATTGTTTTTGCTAAAATGGAGATCAGAGTTCTTGGTTCTCCAGTATGATAAATTAGGTGATTCAAATCTAAACTTGGACAAAACGTACATGCCTTGAAAAAGCTTGAAATCTGCTATGTTCCAACTCAGCATCAAGTAGCAGATATACCAAGTGTTTTGCAACTGCAAATCTCATTTTCTTGGAGATAATCTTACTGTAATACCTTCTAGTACAGCTTGAAGGGGCCTATTTAGCTAACGCTTCCCTATAGTTAGTACTACTAGGAAGTTAGTGAACCAACTCATCATCTGCTTCTGAATCCTCAGTTACTTTCTACCCACTTTTTTCTTGCATATAGAAAACTCATCGCATTTGTGGATAGATTGATTGTTAATCAGTTCATTTTCAACAATATTTGTAGGATGCCTACTGATCCTTTTGCAGCAACGCAAACATGCGTAGCAACAATCGACTTTGCAATTAAACGAGGCACAAGGATATACAACTATCTAAGGCGTAATTATGGTTATGTGAAAGATATGAGCAAGAACTATGACAAACTTTTGGAGGCATATAAAGAGCTATGTGATGAAGAGGAAGATGTAAATAAAGAACTGGAGATAAATGAGATAGAAAAAGAGCAGACCAATGCGTGCAAACAATGGTTGAAAAAAGTAGAAGAGATGAAAAAAGATGTCCAAGGATTGGAGGAAAAGTATAAAAAGTCCTTCAGCTGCTTGTGTGGATTATGTCCATTTTTTCATCTTGTGAAACTTGGTGGCCGTATTGTAAAAAAGACTGAGAAGGTAAAGAATCTGAAGGCTGAAAGCAATAACATAAGAAGTTTAATGGTTCAGAAGGCGCCGGCTCCACATATAACGAATCCTACCAACAAAATTAGTGAATTCCCATCCCTTGAAGAAAACGTAAAAGAGCTACAAGACTGTCTAATAGTTGAAAATTTAAAAAGAATTTGCGTTTTGGGACCAATTGGAGTTGGGAAAAGTACAACAATGAATCGTCTCCACCAATCAATGAAGGGGTCTAAAATGTTTGAGATTGTTTTCTTGATAGCTGTAGGCAGAAAAAGAAATGAAAGATACATACAACAAGAACTTCTAAAGCGGTTGCAAATGAAACCGAAAAAGTTCAGTGATGAACAAAGAAAGAGCATTATTCATGAACAACTGAAGAACATGAGCTATTTATTGTTACTCGATGAAGTGTTTTCAAAGATTGATTTGGAAGAAATAGGCATTAATGATGAACATAAAGGAAAAGTAGTCTTTGCTTCCAGGTATTTAGATGTTTGTGAGCAGGCAGATGAACAGATCGAAGTAAAGAGATTGTCAAACATGGATGCTCAAAATATGTTTTGGGAGAAGGTGGGTGTGCATTTAAAGGATAATCCACACATCAAGAGAGAGGCAGAATTGATTATCAAGTTCTGCAGTGGCAATCCATACCTGATAAAGTTGATTGGAAACTACTTGGCATCTAAAGCAAGGGTTCCAGCAACAAATGGGACGGATCCAGCAATATGGCGGAACACATTGCATGAATTAAGATCACCAACTGGGGAACCGAAACAAGATTTGGAAGAAGTTTACAAGTCTCTTAAACTTGAAGTTGACAGACTACGACCAGATGAGAAGTCTTGCTTTTTATATTTGGCAATATTCCCTGCTGGTCATGAACTTCATCGGGATTATATAATCGAGTGTTGGAGAGCAGAACAATTTTTGAAGCGCTTTGAAAAGCTTGGGGAGGCACGTGACGGCGGGAATGTTATATTGCGCTATTTTGTTGACAATTCTCTGTTGGAAAAGGAAATGAAGGAGGAACGATATAAGATGTTCGAGTTTTATCAACAAGTGGCATTTAGATTTGCCAAGCACAATGAGAACAATTATATTCAAGACAAAGAAATGGTTAGAGAAATAAAATGGGAAGATGCAACTAGGATCTCAATGATTGGTGATTCGTGTCTCCCCACTTTGCCAGATGAGCCCAATTCTGAAAGAATCTTAACATTGCTACTTCAAGAAATTAGCTGCTTGGCAAAATTTCCAAGATCATTCTTTCTGCATATGTCTGCCCTTCAACTGCTTGACTTGTATAAATCGAAGATTGAAACTCTTCCATCATCAATCTCCAGTTTGAAAAACCTCAAAGCAATGTTCCTAAAAAATTGTGATCAATTAATAGAGCTCCGTGATGAGGTAGGAGATCTTCATGGTCTTGAAATCCTTGACATATGTCATACTGGGATTTCTCATTTGCCTCCGGTAATAGGAAATTTGACTGCTCTCAAGTGTTTGAGAGTTTCATTTAAAAAAATTATTTGGAGCCAAAACCATGTTAATGGTAGCCTGAGTGATATGATTTCTTCAGATGTAATTGCAAGACTTCATTCATTGGAAGAGCTGGGCATTGTGGTGGATCCAACTGATGGAAGATGGGATCAAAATGTAGAAAGTATTGTTACTGAAATTGCTGTTCTTAAAGAGTTGACCACTCTTTGTTTTTACTTTCCTACCATGAATTGCTTTGAGACTTTTGTTAGTACCAGCGTATTGTGGAAAGGAAACAATGCGTGGAAAGGCGAAAGACTCAGATCATTCAACATCATTGTTGGTCATCAGCAAGGAAATTCTCCTACTGAATTCGATGTCTCTGAATGGTCAGCTGAAAAGCGCTTGAGATTTTCTGCAGGTGAGTGGGTTATTTTAAATTTTTTATTTAATGAAGTTTATCATGTCATTACATTTCACCTAAAAAGCTCTACTTCATTTTTTCATTAAATACTATATGAACAAAATTTAATAAACTGCCCTTATATTGCAATGTGCCTTCAGGTGAAGCTTTTCCTGATGCAATTTTAAAGATATTGAAGCAAGCATGTTCTTGTGAGCTAATTGGTCATAGAGCTGCCAACTTATCGGTCTTTAGCGCTGATAATCTGGAAGGGCTTGAAGTTTGTATGATTGAAGATTGTCCTGAAATGACAAGCATTATTGATGGTAACCTTACCACAGGCGCTGCGTTTAAACGCTTGAATAAGTTGCACATAGAAGGTCTCCCAAAATTGATGCACATTTGGAAAGGTTCAATGGTACCACAGAGCCTTATGATGCTCACAAATTTAACGGTAAAAGAATGCCACAGTCTGAAAGTTTTGTTCTCAGAGGAGATGGTTCTGCGACTTAACCTGTTACAGTATATTCAAATTGAGGGCTGCCAAGTCATGGAAGAAATTATCAAGGATGGAAGTATAGTCGATTCTGGGGCCTTTCCTAAGTTGAAGATTTTGGAACTCATTAATCTTCCCTTACTGTCGAAGATTTGCAATGATGCAACATTGACATGGAATTCTTTGGAAGTTTTGAAGATTGAGAGCTGTACAGTGATTGAAGAAATTACAAAGGATGAAGGTACAGTTGATTCCGGGGCCTTTCCTAAATTGAAGAATTTCGAACTCGTTAATCTTCCCAAACTGTCAAAGGTTTGCAAAAATGTTTCATTGAAATGGGATTCTTTGGAGACATTGAAGATTGATACATGTATGGAGCTAAAAAGTTTCCCGGCTACTTTCCGATGGGCTGAGAAATTGGTAGTGATCTTTTGCACTCAAAATCTGTGGACCCAGTTGGATTGGCCAGATGATAACGATGTTACAAAAAATCGTTTCCAAAATCTGTATAAGCAAATATGAGGTAACTCAAAGACAACTCTTTTAGATGTGTTTCTTTGCTTTGCTTTGCTTTCAGATGACAATTACAAAAGTTTAAGGACTAATTTGCAGAAATTCTTTGAGTTCTTTTTGAAGGCGTGGATTTGTGGATGGTAAGGGATTCACTACACGGAAACTGTGATTTTCCTAAGATGTCTGCTTCTGACGTGGCAAGCCGTCATTGGAATATGTCACATACACTGACACTTGGTGTATCGGAAGTGTCTCACAGCGAAGTTTGTGCTGCTGTAGAGCTGTTGTGGTTGTATTGTTTACCTTGAGTGAATCTTTGTTTATAAGTTGCTGTTTTTGACCCTTGGCTGTTGCTGGATGTCAATTTTCGGTCACGTTTTTTTCTGGATACTACCAAGTTTATGAGTCTTCTTTAAGCAAGATTTGTTCAGTACCATTTTTCTTAGAATAAATTTCCTTCACACATGATGTTAGATGTTAAAATTTGGGCAGTTACTACATTATTCTCAAACAGTTGATAGACGTAACAACGCATCCACAGGTTTGCTAAAGTAACAAAAGACCCAAAATTTTGACAAGCATTGGTGATAACCATCAATTTATTGTATATTTATTCTCCTCTCTTTAAAACCTATATTTCGTCATCTAAAATTGGTAAGTTTATTAGTTCTATCTTACCCATTTCTTACAAGTAAAAGAACTGGTAAAAAAAGTACATCCCCCTTTTTTTTTTTTTTTTTTTTTTTTTTGGCTTTATCAAATGAAACTTGGGTTAAAAATGCCAAGTAAACCCGGTTCATTTCCATTCCATTACCATCATTTCATGAACAAATTTCAAATGATTAGCTACATATCTAACTCCAGTTTCATTCTCAAAACTAGTCTCTCCTGTAGATGTCCTGATTTTTTTAAAATTCGGACCTCATTGACATTGTACAATAACATGAGTTAATTCATATATGCATAAAATACCATATGCAAGAACATCTAATCATACATTCGAACCTCAATTTCCAATAACATGAGTTAATGCATGCATTCTCATGATTTCTAACTCAAAATGTAAAGATAAAAGGTAAAAAAAAAATTATACATACAATATGTACAACATGGTAAAAACTATTAACTCTCACTTTACCTATGAATTGATTAAAGCCAATATACCAAAAATTTTACTTACAGATAATCTTGAAAAATTATGGTGGAATAGTTTTCAAGATACAACCGCAATTCATCATTTTCCCACTCTAATGCATCCCACCAACTCTTCTCTGCCTTAACTATCACATCTTTGAACCTGGAATCAATACCAATCTTCTTCAAGTTTGGGCAACAGTAGAAGCTGATATGTCCTAATTGCGGCCAAGGACTTTTCCAAATGTTAACCAATCCAGGCAGATAGTGAAGTGTTAACTTCTTCAAACTGGGAAGTGTAACAGAACAAGAATCCGTTATCTCATCCTCAACTATGATTTGTTCAATGGCCTGACAATCTTCAATAACCAATTCCTCTAATTTACGAAAATATTGAATCATTGAGCTTCTAAAGATGTAATCCAACTTCGGACATCCATGCATCGACAAAATTCTTAACTCGGCAAAGCTTCCTTCTGGTAAAGTCCCCTGCCAAATTCCTGTTAAATTCCACAAATGATGAATACTCAAGGTCTCCAGGAGTGGAAATACAGCAATAGTATCTTCCTCCACTTCATCCACATGCACAACCGTTTTAATCTCCGGGCATTCACTTATTATACAAAACTTCAACCCATTCATATTGCTAACACCAAAGTTGGAAAGGCTCTTGATGTCAAGATGATTATCTAAATAGAAAGCAGTACAACGAGCTAATATTTGAAGAACTCCATCAGGTTTCATCTCACCATTTACAAATCTCAAGCATTGGCCCTGCTGATTATAATCAAATTCCAAATACTTTGGGACCTGAGAGGAAATGCTCTTGACATCACGGCCAACCACAAATTTGAACTCCATTAAGAGTTTCTTCTTCCATGGTTCACTTTCTGTGACGAATTCTTGGACATGCTCAACTTCTGGGAAATGAAAACACAGAAACTTCAACTTTTTTAACTTGCTGACTTCAGTTTTGACATATTCCACATCCTCATGCCACCTTTCATCCCCTGGACATAAAACAATGCTCAAAGTGTCCAAATTACACAACTTCGATATAATGCCACTCGAAATCAAATGACGTGGCAATTTAACATATTCACTGTCATCAATAGATCCATAGAAGGACACTTCCAAACGTTTCAGGGATGCCAATTCACCAATCTTATCAGGTAATTCTTTAATTTTAGTACCTCGAAGATCAAGCACCTCAAGACAAACAAGAGATCCAACTTGAGAGGAAAGCATAAACAGACGTTTACAATCACATATAATGAGCATTAGGAGGCTTTTTAGCTTAAAAAGTGTCTCTGGCAAGGACCTTATTCTAGTCTCAGATAGATTTAACACTTTGAGAGAAGTCATGCATTCAAAAAAGTATGGAGGTATCACTCTCAGCAAACGGTTTCTTTGTAAGAACAATGTCAAAAGTTCGGGGCAATTTGGTTTCTCGGGTAGAGTGCATAACTCATTATCACTCAAAAACATCATTTTGGCCTGTTTCCACTCTTCCATCGAAGGTGGTTCTGTTAGACCTGCTCCAGCTCTCAACAGAAATTGATTACCTTCTGGTATACACAATCTACTGCTTTCAAGGATGTTCAGCGATCTTGATGATGAACTACTTCCAGCATTAAGTGGTTTGATTGATCTTGAATAAGCACTCAACAGAAACTGAATACCTTCTGCTCTCAAAAGAAACTGACTATCTTTTGGCGTCGAAGATAAGATCCCCAATGCTAAATCTCTGATTAAATCATGCATTTTGATGGAAACTCCGCCTTCAGTAACTTGTAACAATGAAGCATGTACTAGAACATCAACTATATGATGGCCCCTTTTATGTGCATCAGCTTGAGCACCAGTGATTAAACTTTCTTGGATACAATATTCTATGAATTTATAAATATTGACCTCTTGAGCTTCTGGAAACAAAGCACTATGAAGGAAACAACTTTTCACATCATTATCACATAGTTGGTCAAAGCTGAATTTCAATAATTGGAGTACATCTTCAATTTGACATTCTCGAGAAGTTTTACGTCGTGAGAATTTTTTTGAAGCATCCTTCCACATGGAAACATCATTTTTCTCCCCTAGGGCCCTTCCAGTAACAATAATCAGCAGTGGCAAACCATCACAGCCCTTAACTATAGTGTCAGCAAAGGGCTTGATAACTGACAGTGGAATGCTTTCACTCACTTGTTCATAGAAAAGTTCTCTAGCTTCCTTCCAAGAGATACCTTTTACTTCAACCACCTTAAAAAAATTCATGTCACGACAAGCATCAAGTTTTCTGGATGCTATTACTATCTTGCAGCCATTTTCTGAACTAGGACCAGGAATACCCACTGCCTCTAGATCGATCTGCTCCCAAACATCATCCAGAATCAACAAAAACTTCTTCCCTTTCAGAACTTTCAATAATCTTTCTGCAACCTGAGAATCAGTTTCAGAATATTCACGACATAAAGATAACTGTCTTAAAACTTCATTTTGGACCTTTCTTGTGCTCCAATATCTTGAGACAGTCACCAAAATTACCTCATCAAACATATGTTCTGTGTTTAGGAAGTTGATCAAGGCCTTGAGGACAGTAGTCTTTCCGATACCACCAGTTCCAATAACAGCAATTTTTGTAGTTCTAACATTATTTATGTGGCTGAAAATCTTCCGGACAGTTGTCTTAATTGATTTCTTTGCATATAAAACTGATTCTCGCAACAACTGATCTTTAATTGGAATTTCATTTTTTATGGTAAGATGAGATGATCTCACTGGTTCATCTGCAACTAAATTACTTCTGCCCAATTCAATGGCTGCTATTGGAGCAAGCTTAACTGATTGCTGGGCACTTGCATTCAATCCACACTTCATCTTACGTTCTCCTTCAGTTTGAGAAGGTAAAATCTCAGATTCCATTTTATGAATGGATGGCACCTTATCTTTTGCTTCAAAAGATACAATCTGAATTTCAGATTCATGAGCTGGTGGTGTACCTATTTGTGGAGGAAATGGCACCACATCTTCTTCCACGATCTCCAAGCTTGATGCAGGAACCTGATACCCAGACGACAGAGATGTGGTGTCTGAAGCTTTTACTCTCTCACCCTGAACCTCAAAGTGATCAGACACAACAGAAGTTGGCTCATCTTTACTTCCAGAAGATGAAGCCATCGCCACAGCTTCCTGTGCCGGAGATGTACCTGCACCTTATACTCTCTCACTTTGAACCTCAAGGTGACCCAGCATAGCATAACTGAACTTATCTGTACTTTCAGAAGTTGAAGCCGTTACCACAGCTTCCAGTGCCAGAGATGCTGTATCAGCACCCTGCACTCTCTCACTCTGAACCTCAAAGTGATCTGATATAGCAGAAGTCGATTCATCTTTACCTCTGGAAGTTGAAGCCATCCCCACATATTCTGATGCCAAAAGCCCCAGACCCTGTTCATGTCCAAGTCCTGGGCGAAGCAAAGGGACTTCAATCGAAGAATATGGCAAGTGCTGTACTGAGACGGTCCCCATGACATCAGCCACACGTCTGAAGCGGGTAGTCACTAAAACACAAGATCCCTCAACTTTTAACCACATCTTTAACCATGATTTTAATTTCTCCAATCTCATATGATCTTCTTCCGAAACATCATCCAATACAAGCAAGAACCTATTATGCGGCACCACATCCTCACTGCTACGAGATTTACCAAACTCATCAACTATTACCTCTACAATTTTATCAATATCAAGACTTTCAGTAACAGAAACCCAAGCCCTGGATTGGAAATAAGATTTCACCATCTCATCATTGTAAATTCTTTGAGCAAGAAGAGTAGACTTATCAGCTCCATCTATTCCCACAAAAGGAATAAAACGCAAAATTTGCTCATCGTTTCGTAGTAACAAAGAGATTATAGTATTATAATTCAACAATTCAAGATCAACAAAATCACCTAATCCAGGAAAACCGACCTCAGGAATCNGATGAGAGAGAGAAATGATTATCCGAAGAGGGCTAGCACCTTCCGAGGGTAATAACGGGATTTCTATAGTAATAGTTACATAGAAAACAATTTGTGACATTTTAAGGGTTAAAATGGTCAAGCAATAATTAATTATATTTAATTATTATATCTTAAAGTGTTAAGATTAATGAGATGAACAAAAATAACCTTTTAATAGTTAAAGGGTAAAAAGGGTAAATTTATGGGTTGTTAATGTAAACTAGTTTAGTTTACATGGGCCCTTGAATAATATTGATTATTCAAAGGGTAGCATATTAAATTCGTGGGGTCCCTTTATAAAATAAGATTTTATTGGGCTTGGAAGTGAAAAATAAATAATTGCAAAATAGCCCAAGTATATATAAGTGCAAAAGGTTGCATTTTTGTTCATTATTCACTTGTTCACTCAAACACAAACTAAAAGCTCTCTCTCCCTAGCCAAGGCCACTCTCTAATCCTCTCAAGGTGGTGTTAAAGTGTGGAGGTTTCATCCTTTTGAAGCTAATCTTCATCAATCCAAAGCAAAGGAGTAGGTATAATCTCATATCCAAGCTTTGCATGTAAACCGTTTTTTTTAATCCATGCTTTCATGCTTTCATTCTCCATCTCCACCACTCTTCATGCATGCTGAATCTTTCAGTCGTGTTCACAAGAGGCCCTGTCCCGAGCTTCTCCCATTCAGGTCGAAACAACCAGAACCTTCAATCGCGGCATGATTTAGTTTCCAAGGTTCGATCCTCAAACCTTACAAACTAGGGGGCTTCTGTTATGCCCAAGAAAACAAATTGGCTGACGTTGATTTGCGTGACGAAACGTGGTCTGCTCCCGTCAGAACGGTAAGCGCACGTCAGGCCTGCCAAGCGCCCTGGAGCTCCCACGTGTCCGTTAACCTGCTCCAAATCGCGTAAAATCGGCTTGGGAAATGGGTAATGGGACGTAAAGCCAGATTACATCCTGACACACACACCAACCCAAGGATTTAATGATCATTACACGCATTTAGCTAGGTATAAGAAAGGGAAGACCCCTTCATTAAGGGGATTCGATCACTTGACATTGGAAATTTCTCTCTCTCTCTTAGCAAAGCTTTGTATTTACTTTTCAATCATTTGTAAGTTAGTCCGCTTTAGCGACCTGACCCACCATATTAATTCAAATCAGTGGATGTAGGATTTGCTACCTTAGCATCCGAACCACTTTAAAAACTCTCATTGCATTTAGTTCATATTCACAATCCATTTTCATGTGTGTTCCTAGCCCAATCAACGCTGTGCACGTGTCAATTAGTTGGTGTCAAAATCACGCATCAACATATATATTTTTGCCAACTTTAAAATCAATTAAATCTATAATGAAGTGCTTTCCTTTTTTATTTTTCCAAATTAATGGGCTATTTTGTCTTTGTAGCAGAAACAGTTGGGCGTGCATGTATGGACGCAGAAGTATCTAGTTTTTGTTCAGCTGAAATCCTGAAAGCGGATTTTGTTTAATGGACTTATAAGTACAGTTCGACATGGCCATAAAGCATCTTTCCAATTTCTATCATATTTTTATATCCAAATTGCCATTGGTAGTATCCTAGGAGAGGAAGAAACCATGAGAAGGGGGGAATCATCAAACATTCTGTTTTCTTTGTTGCTCTTTCTATTCATTGGTGAAGTGCAACAAGCTGCGTGTTCTTCTTCATGTGGAGACATAAAAGATATATGATACCCATTCTGGTTAAAGGACCCTCTAACGGAATTCAGTGATTCTGTTTTTGAACTTACTTGCCAGAGCAACAAACCCATCTTACGATACCGTTCTGGAAAATACTATGTGAAAGAAATTTCTTATGATGATCAGATAATTAAGTGTTGTAATAACACACTCACAAACCACAGATTATAGCCAAATAACACACATCCACAAAAGATCAAGAACACCATAATTTTACCTTGGTTCACCTTTCCAAGATTTGGAAGGCTACGTCCATGTTGAGCTCCGGAAACGTCGAAGCTCACTACACTATTTGGAAACAGTTTATAAATTACAAACACAAGATCGAAAGATTCAATCAAACCTGAAATCATCCTATCTGGTAACTAATAGCCCTGGAAACTATACACCCAGAATCCCAGCCAACCGAGAGACAAAACCCCTCAAATAGAATGACAAATCAATCACTCAACTCGTTACACAGAACCAAGATTTCAGAGCAAAGGATGAACCGTAGCAGAGCAAATACCTAACCCTGTTTCAATTGAATTACAAACTTGAAAACTAAAGAGAAAAGTTCACTTATATATCGTTGACCAGGATGGACTAAGCACAGCCGTTGGATCTTCTCAAAACTGATGGTCCAGATTCATGCTTGAAACGACAGCGTGCTGGTTAAGTGACACAGCACCGTTTCAGTCTTCACACTTACAATCTCCACCTTGAAGACATAAAACCCACTCTCTTACTGACTCCCATTTCTAGTGCAATTTGCCTCAACTTATTCCCTCATAGCTCTGGTGATGCTTTGATTATTTCAGGAATAGCAAGTTCATGCAATGCTTGAACTTGGCTGGACTGACAATTTTTGTTCCCATATCTGCTGGATTCTCTTCAATGGGAACTTTCTTTAACTCAATCTGTCCTCTGGTAATTAGGTCTCTGATGAAGTGAAATCTCACGTCCAAATGTTTTGTTCTCTCATGGTAGATAGGATTTTTACTTAACAGTATGGCACTTTGACTGTCTGAGAAGATAGTCACTTTGCTGTCAGTCAATTCAGATTCTGTCAAAAATTCTTGCATCCATACAACCTCCTTGAAGCCATCTGCCAATGCCATATACTCTGCTTCAGTTGTTGATAGGGCAACTAGAGGCTGGAGTTGTGATTTCCAGCTGATGCAATTCCCTCTAAGGGTGAAGCAGTAGGCAGTGGTTGACTTCCTGCTATCCCTGTCACCTGCAAAGTCTGAATCCACAAACCCCACAAGATCAAGTGTAGATGTTCTTTTACAATACTCTAAACCTATACATGCAGTACAGTTTATATATCTGAGTACCCATTTCAATGCAATCCAGTGATCACTTCCTGGATTTGACATGAACCTACCCAGTAAAGAAATTGCAAAAGCTAAATCTGGTCTAGTGCTAATCATTGCATACATCACAAACCCTATCACATTTGAATAAGGGACAGTTTCCATTTTTATGGTTTCAGCAGAGTTCTTTGGACATTGGGACTTAGACAAAATAAAATGATTTGCAAGAGGCATTGTTACAGGCTTACAATCAGACATTCCAAATTTGGTAACTAGCTTCTGTAGGTATGGTGTTTGATGAACCTTTACGGTATTCCTGGTTCTATCTCTGTTTATCATCATTCCCAATATTTTCTTAGCCACTCCTAGGTCTTTCATATCAAATTCAGAACTAAGTCTAGATTTTAGTTCAGTTATCTTTGATTTTGATTTACTAATCAGGAGCATATCATCAACATAAAGCAACAAGTAAATAGGCATGACATCTTTCAAGTCAAAGTAAAAACAGTTATCATACTTGCTCCTAGTGAATCCTAGGTTAAGTATAAAGGTATCAAACCTTTTATACCACTGTTTGGGTGACTGTTTAAGTCCATACAAGGACTTATGCAGTCTGCATACATGGTCTGGTCTAAGACAGTCTACAAAACCTATTGGTTGGGCCATGTAAATTTGTTCTTCTAAATCCCCATGAAGGAATGCTGTTTTCACATCAAGTTGCTCTAACTCTAGGTCTTGGTGAGCTACTACAGACAACATCATTCTAATGGTTTTATATTTAACAACGGGAGAGAAGACTTCATTGAAGTCTATGCCCTCCCTTTGGGTGAACCCCTTGGCCACCAATCTAGCTTTGTATCTAGGTGGTTCATTTTAATCTACACTCTCTTTAATCTTATACAACCATTTACACTGTATAATTTTCTGGTGTTTAGGTTTAGGGACTAGGGACCAAGTCTCATTTACCTGTAGAGAGTTCATTTCCTCTGTCATTGCTTGCCACCATTTATGCTTGTCCTTTGAGGTGATTGCTTCAGAGTATGACTCTGGTTCTATCCTCAGAATTTCAGTTCCTGCCATTAGGGCCGTATAGACTAGCTCTGCAAATGAGTATCTTGCTGGTGGCCTTATGTCTCTTCTGGTCCTGTCCCTTGCCAGTTGGTAATCCTGCAAATCATCCTGCAAGGGGCCTTGGGCCTCCTCTGTTTCATCCTCATTTTGGTCAGGTTCATCAGGTGTAATTCCTTCTTCTGGTGCAGGATACACTTCAGTGTGGGTATTCTCTGGTTGCCTGATGGTTACCTCCACCTCAATTGGTGTAGTGTTTGGTTATGTTACATTGTTGCTTGGAGATCCTGCATCAACATTAGCAAACTTGCAAAGGAAATCCCCTTCATTAAAAATCACATCTCTGCTAGTAATAATCTTAACCCCTGGTGCAGTCTTATCCCACAATCTGTAACCTTTAGTGCCCTCCTGGTATCCTAAAAATAGACACTTTATGGACCTGGGCTCTAATTTCCCATCACTAGTATGTGCATAAGCAGCACATCCAAACACTCTTAGATGGCTAAGGTTTAATTCTCTTCTTGACCACTTTGACTCAGGACAGTTGAAACCTATGGAACTATTAGGGCTTATGTTTATTAAGTAGGCAGCAGTGGTCAATGCTTCTCCCCAAAAAGTTTTTGGGAGACCTGAGGTGAATAAGAGACACCTGACTTTTTCTAACAAGGTTCGGTTCATTCTCTCAGCAACTCCATTTTGCTGAGGGGTTTTCCTAACTGTTCTATGCCTTAATATACCTTGATCCCTACAGTAATTGTCAAACTCCATATTGCAGAATTCTAAACCATTGTCAGTCCTTAAAGCCTTTACTTTTCTATCAATTTGATTTTCCATAAGTGTCTTCCAGGTTTTGAACTTAGACAGTGCCTCATCTTTAGACTTCAGTAGGTATACCCAAACTTTTCTACTGAAGTCATCAACAATTGAAAAGAAATAGGAATTCCCCCCATGAGATCTAATTCTTTCAGACCCCAAAGGTCAGCATGTAGATACTCTAAACAGTTTTTGGATAAGTGTATACCTTTGGTGAAACTACCTCTATGTTGTTTTCCTAAAACACAAGTTTCACAGAAATCTAGGGTTGTTATTTTATCTCTACCAAATAACCCCTATTGTCTAAGAATACTCATACCCTTTTCACTCATGTGACCTAACCTTGAATGCCACTTATCAGTATCATTCAGATTTGTGGAGACCAAGGCATTGTTCCCATTCTCAGAGTAATAACTGCCACACAAAATGTATAGCCCATTCTTCTTTGACCCCCTTAGAACAATATGATTATTCTTAAACACATTTATACAACCCCTTTCAGCCTTATAGCTACATCCTGACTCATCTAGGGTACCTAGGGATATTAGGTTCCTCTTTAGTTCAGGAATGTACCTAACATTTGATAACACAATAATTTTTCCATCATCTAGCCTTAGGGTAATGTTACCTAATCCTAACACTCTACAAGTGTTATTGTTACCCATATAGACAGTTTCATATTCACCACCCCTAAAATCTTGAAACCACTCTCTGTTAGGGTTCATATGGAAGGAGCATCCAGAGTCTAATACCCAGTCATGAGTCTGATCTGCTCTAGACACAGTTAGAACTTCTGGATCAGTAATATTTTTATCAATACATGCAACATTGCTCTCAGTGTTCATTGATTTTTGTTTCCTAATCCAATCATAGCAATTCTTTTTTAAATGACCAGGCCTATTACAGTGAAAGCATTTTCTAGTCTCCCCTTTCTTGTTAGCCCATTTTCCTTTCTTTTTAGCCTTGGACCAATTGTTTCTTTGCATGCCATTAGAGGAACTACCTAGATCAGGTTTACCTTTTACAAACAGATTATTGCCACTTCTTTTCTGAACCTTCCATTCCAATTCCCTAGCCTTTAGTCTTGATACTATAAGACTACACTAGGGACTGTGCCTGAATACTGTAAAGCATTCTTAACAACTTGATAGTCTTCGGTCAGTGAGTTTATCAGGATCATTGCTAAACTCGTTTCACCTAATTCCTAGTCAGTACCCTTTAGGACTATGGTCATTTTCAAGAATTCATCAATATTATCTTCTATTGATTTACTACTGTCCATTCTATATGAAAAAAGTGCACCCTTCAAGAAAGCAAGATTTGGTGCAGATTGTAAAGCATACAGAGTTTCGAGTTTACCCCAGAGTGTGATTGGAGCCTCCAATCCGTCCACTTTCCTAAGCACGTTGTCTGCCAAGTTCATCACGATCAAGTTGTACGCCTCCTCGTCTACTTTTCCCTTTCTTTTTAACTTGTCCGCTGACCACTTTTCAGCATCCTTTTCTAGTGCAATCCCTACTTTATTGTGCGAAAGTAGGGCCTGCATTTTCTTCTTCCAAGAATTGAAGTCAATTTTTCCGTCGTAGCGCGCAATTTCCATGCGGGTGGAACTAGTAGTGCTCATAATCAGAAATCAGTGTTGATTCTAGATTATTTCTGGTTTGAAGAAATACTAAAGACTCCTAAGAACCCTAGAACTCGAAATTTTAGAAAACCTCTAATTTCTATGAAACCCTAGAATTTAATTTTTCCTCAAATTCGGATCTCAAGACTCATTCTACGCTCTAAGGTGAAAATGCTCTGATACCACTATTGTAATAACACACTCACAAACCACAGATTATAACCAAATAATACACATCCACAAAAGATCAAGAACACCACAATTTTACCGTGGTTCACCTTTCCAAGATTTGGAAAGCTACGTCCACGTTGAGCTCTGGAAACATCGAAGCTCATTGCACTATTTGGAAAGCAATTTACAAATTACAGACACAAGATCGAAAGATTCAATCAAACCTGAAATCACCCTATCTGGTAACTAATAGCCCTGGAAACTATACACCCAGAATCCCAGCCAACCGAGAGACAAAACCCCTCAAACAGAATGACAAATCAATCACTCAACCCGTTACATAGAACCAAGATTTCAGAACAAAGGATGAACCCTAGTAGAGCAAATACCTAACCCTGTTTCAATTGAATTACAAACTTGAAAACTAAAGAGAAAAGTTCACTTATATATCGTTGACTAGGATGGACTAAGCACAGCCGTTGGATCTTCTCAAAACTGATGGTCCAGATTCATGCTTGAAACGACAGCGTGCTGGTTAAGTGACACGGCACCATTTCGGTCTTCACAATTACATTAAGGTTGTTGACGTTAACTTAGCCAATGGAAGTTTTGGCGCCCTTCCATCCCAACCTCTGTCAGTCTCTGAAACTTCCACCGTTTATGACAACAGAACATGAATTCAATTAGACTTAATATCTTCCATTTCTACAAGAGAACATACTAAGCTCTATACAGAAGCCCAGTTTTTGAGCTGCCCTTCAAATTTCAGTCATCCGTTGTACACAAGAGTTCCTTGTTTGAGTGGAAACCGGTGTCATGTCTATGTCTACCATGATGATAGATCGACAACAACCGATCGTCAAGATTCATGCTCGTTCATTTCAAGTATTCCTATGATTCTTCCGATTCAGACAAATCTTTCCTATGAAACCATCCAGAATTTGCTGCAGTTAGGCTTTGATCTTCGCTGGTACAACGGTGATTGTTATTGATATGATATATTCTACCGCTTTAGGCTCCTCAGATACACACTACGTTTCTATTGCTCTAAAAGTAAGCTTATCTTTCTGTATACATACGTGTTGAGGTTGTGATGAATATTTTTAATTGATTTATATTTTCTCAATATTTTTGAATCATCTGTCCCGGCTTAATTTTTATTTCCTGCACGCTTATGCAGAGAGTTTTGCTGACTATCTATTGTTCTAGCGGGATTATATGCTTCAACCATTGCGCGAACTATTTCAATTATCTGGTATAGTTTCCATGATCAAATTATTGTTCTTATTGTCTCCAATATTTATTGCGAGATTGATGCACTCTTTGTATGGTTTCTGTCAAAATTTTCCTCAAAATTCTTATTCTTGACTTTACTTCCTGTGTGATTCTGCAGATGAAAGAATCAGTATGCATGAAGAGTGGTGAAGATGGAGAATGAAAGCATGGATTCTAAAACCGTTTTTCAAACAAAGCTTTTTCAAACAAAGCTTGAAAAGAGATTATACCTACTCCTTTGCTTTGGATTGATGAAGATTAGCNGTATCCAAAGAGAAATGGAGGCGGATGAATTTTACTATCGCATAATTAGTTTTACTGTCCATGAAGCCCCCAAAACGCCCTATTTCTGTCAGATACAGATATCTCCCGACGACCAACAGCCACTTTCTGTGGCGGAGTCGATTCAGTTGCGGAGTTGATTCAGTGGCTGCGGCAGCTGAGAGCAACGCATTCTTCGAATTTGAGTTGAGTTTTGAATGACTTGTTAAAGAGGTAATATGAGTTAATATAATTGAAATTAGTTGTTTCAATGACTGTTTCTTGATTTCTTCCGCTTGATTGTTGTAGTTGTATCCTTACTCATAAACACTCGAATTTCTTTCAGATTTGCATCTTTTTGTATGATTGGTTAAAAATGGTCGACGTTTCCGTAGTTGGAACCGTTGCCCAGAAATTGGGGGAATCGACCAGACTTAAGTTAAGTTATTTGTGCAATTACAATAGCAACTTTGAGGAACTCAAGAAAGAAGTTGATAGGCTGAGGGATGTCAGAGCCAATTTATTGAGTACAATTGAGAGAGCTCAAAGTCGAGGGGAACAGATAGAAAGGGATGTTGAGAGGTGGCTGAAGAATGTTGAAGAGTTCATCCATGATGCAACGATGATTATTGAAGACTTTGAGCGGAGAGCAGAGAATCGATGTTGCAAGGGGCTGTGTCCTGATTTGACAACCCGCTATCGGCTTAACAAGAAAGCAGTGAAGGAGCTGAAGGCTGTTAGTGGACTCTTGAAAGACAGAAACTTTGATAGAGTTTCGTATGGTATCTTTCAACGGGACATATGGTCTAGATATTCTAAGGATTACGAGACCTTTGAGTCAAGAATGTCCATTTTTAATGATATATACAATGCATTAAGCAATGATGATATCAACATTATTGGAGTGTACGGGATGGCGGGCATTGGCAAGACTACACTGGTGAAGCAAGTTGCCTGGCAAACCAAGGAAGACAAGTTGTTTGATGAAGTGGTTATGGCATGGGTAAACCCAACTCCAGACATAAGAAGGATCCAAGGAGACATTGCAGATCATCTGGGTCTGAAATTCCACGAGGAGAATGAATTTGGAAGAGCAAGGAGGCTACGTGATCGATTGAATCAAGAGAACAGGATCCTTTTAATTTTTGATGATATGTGGGCAAGCCTTGATTTGGAGAGAGTTGGAATTCCTTTAGGAGATGATCACCGCGGATGTAAAGTTTTGCTGACGTCAAGAATTCATGATATATCAGGCAAGATGGGTTCTCAATGTAATTTCTTGGTTGGTGTTTTGAAGGAAGAAGAAAGTTTTAGTCTGTTTAAGAAAATAGTAGGTGATACGATTGAAAACCTTGAGTTCCAATCCTTAGCAATTGAATTCGTCAAGGCATGTGGAGGTCTGCCTATTGCCATTGTTACAATTGCGAAGGCATTAAGAGGCAAGAGTGTATTTGAATGGAGGGAAGCATTCCAGAATTTGAGAAGTCCTTCATCAAGAAAATTCACTGGAATGCTTGAGGACGTTTGTTCAACTATAGAGTTGAGTTACCGTCATTTAGAAGATGAGGAACTCAAGTCAACATTTTTGCTTTGTGGTCTAATAAATTATACTGATGAAGCTCCTGTTATGGACTTGTTGAAATATGGAACGGGTTTGGGTTTATTTAAAGGCATCAGTACTCTAGAAGAAACACGAGATAAAGTATATTCATTGGTCCATGAACTCAAAAGCTCTTGTTTACTGCTTGATGGTCGTAACCGTGAATGGTTTTCTATGCATGCTGTTGTTCGTCATGTTGCCTTATCAATTGCATCTAGAGGTCAACATGTGTTTGCACTGAGAAATGAGGCTACTCCAAAGGATTGCCTAAATAGGGATACAGTAAAAAGTTGCAATACAATCTGCATTCATGATGGTGACATTAGTGAGCTTCCTGAAGGATTGGAATATCCAGAACTTGAATTTGTCTGTATGAATGTGAAGGATTCTATTTTCAAAATCCCTGACAATTTTTTTACAGGAATGACAAAACTTAGTGTTTTAAGTTTGACCAAAGTGCATTTAGTGCCACTACCTTCCTCGCTTCATCTCTTAATAAACCTTCGGACACTTTGTTTCAATCAATGCGTACTGGGAGACTTGGCTGGTATTGGAGACCTGAAGAAACTAGAAATTCTTAGTTTTGTCTGTTTGGATATTGACCACTTGCCTAGAGAAATAGGTCAATTAACGAAGTTAAGGTTGTTAGATTTGAGCAATTGCTCTAAACTAAAGGCTATATCATCCAATGTTATATCTAGTTTATCAGGATTAGAAGAATTGTATATGGGTAATAGCTTTGTTGAATGGGTGTTTGAAGGACTCAACAATGACAGAAACGCTAGCCTTCAAGAGTTGAAGTATTTGTCTTCACTAACCACTTTAGAACTTCATATTCAAGATGCCAGGATACTACCAGTGGGCTTGTTCCCCAAAAAGCTGAAAAGGTACAAAATATTCATAGGAGATGAATGGGACTGGTATGATAAGTATGAGTACAAAAGAACTTTGAAGCTCAAGCTTAATACCAACATTGGCCTGGAGAATGAGATTATCATGCAGTTGAAGGAAATCGAAGAACTTTATCTGGATGAAGTGCAAGGTGTCAAGAATGTACTTTATGATCTGGACGCAGGTGGTTTTCCAAAATTGAAGCATCTCTCTGTACAAAATAATCCCTACATTTGGCGTATAGTTGACTCAGTGGAGTGGCTACCTTGTGATGCCTTCCCACTCTTGGAGTCCTTGTTTCTTCGTAGTTTGATTAACTTGGAGAAGATATGTCATGGTGAACTCACAGCAACATCTTTCTTTAATGTAAGGATGATAAAAGTGAGAAACTGTGATAAATTAAGAGATTTCTTGTCAATCTCTGTTCTTAAAGGCCTTCCGAAACTTCACACATTTGAGTTGATTAAATGCAAGAATATGGAAGAGATATTCACAACTGAAAGTGAAGGTGATGTCAACTATAGTGAAGTGATTGATGAGATTGACTTTTATCAATTACGCTTCTTGACTCTAAAATTTCTTCCACGGCTCACAAGCTTCTACCATGAAGTGAAGACATATTCTGCGGTACAAAATACACACAAGGAATTGACAACTAATAAATTATCCGATAAAGTCATTTTGGAGGATGGCCTTGATACTCCCATGCCCTTTTTTAGCAGGAAGGTAGGTTAACAATAATTTTGTTCTTTATCATTTTATCTTTCTTGTTTGCATTTGTTAACAAATATATGAAAAGGAATTCCTTGGAAAAAAGTAAAAGTAGTCTCATACACTCTTAAAAATTTACATGACTTCTTTCTATTCCCTTTGGGTTTTATTCTCCTTCAATTGTTGAAGATTTTTCTCCTTACTGGTTCGTATGTGATTTTGGATGCAACAAATAGATCACCACTCATATGCTTGTGTTTGCATATTTACTGTGTTATTGATTTGTTTGCGGCATTTTTTTTGAAGTTGTTTGTCAGTAAACCTCAGTCTTCTATATGCTGCTTTTACTCATTAATCTAAAACTACAATTAGGCATGCAATTGGTATGTTTCTATGGTGGTTTTCTAAATTGAATATGACCTTCTCTACATGTTAAAAAAAATTCTAACTGGGATGTGATAGGCTAAACTTTGGCTGTGTTTGTTTTATTATTTAGAGTAATATTTTTGAAAAAGTTGAGTTGGGTAGTTATTGCGATGATAAGATTTGAAAATTAAAAACACCCCCTAGGTTTGTTAATTTACTAAACACTCCCTACAATAAAACATTGAAAATTAACAAAAACACCTTCACCCACCCGTTAATGTCGACAGTCAGGCCACCACTTTCGCAGGGTGGCCAAAAGTTATCGTAATGGTGCACGACCAGTTGGATCTAGTCAGTTGTGCGTGGATCTGGCCCGAAAAGGCCATATCTGGCCGTTGCTGATGACTAGATGTGACCAAAGATCTGACATTTTCTGGCCAGATCGGCGCACGATCGACCAAATCCAACTGGTGGTGTGCCATTACGGTGACTTCCGGCCACCCTCTGGCAGTAGTGGCCAGCTGCCGGCATTCAATGGGTGGATGAGGATGTTTTTGTTAATTTTCAATGTTTTATTGTAGGGGGTGTTTAGGTAAATTAATAAACTTAGGGGGTTTAAAAATAGTTGAATAAAATATGATTGGATTTTGAGAATATTGAAACAAATATGTATTTTGGGTAAGATAGAAATAAGATAGGATAAGAATAATAAAACAAACACAACCTTTGTAGTTGGAGAAGTTAAATATTTGCTTGTCTCAGTAGAAGATTCTTAATCCTTATGGCATGTCATTTTTCCAGGATAAGTAATTTTGTGGAAGAGTATTGAAAAAATAACTTTCTCTGCAGGTTCTGTTCCCTAACTTGGAGGCCTTGGAACTTTGTGCAATTAATTGTGAAAAGATTTGGCCTAACCAATCTGCAGCACTGTCTCCTTTTCAAAATTTAACAAGCTTGATTGTGCGAGGCTGTGATAAACTAAAACATCTTTTTTCATCTTCTTTAGCCAGAAGTTTTGTCCAGCTCCAACACCTTGAGATATATAAATGCAGGGTTCTGCAGGACATTGTTACACAGGAAGACAAAGCAGAGGTAACGACTACATTTGTCTTTCCACGAGTAACCTTTCTGAAACTCTGGGACCTACCAGAACTTAGAACTTTCTACCCTGGGAGACATACTTCAGAATGGCCATTGTTAAAAAGGTTGGAGTTAAGTGGTTGTGACAAAGTAAATATATTCATGTCTGAGTCTTTTAGCTTCCAGGAAATTAATGAGGCCCTGCTGAATATCCCTGTGCAAGAAGCCCTCTTCTTGGTGGAAAAGGTACAACACCCATTTCTTTTTCTTCTTCAGTTTTGACTGTGATCAGATAAAAACTGAAAGGTGCTGCACTTTTGAATTGAATGATTCATCTTTTCATTGCTGTACTTAGTTACCTAAAGTTTTGACACAACCACTTCGGCAAGAGTGATTATATCATATTAAATGAAGGTTTGTTATATTGGTGGTGCTTGCTTCAAATCTAGATACATGTTAGCCTTAATCAGGGACATTGGTTTGCGTTCAGTTTAGAAGTGGTCCGTAGATTTGGTAGCAATGAATTTCACTAAACACTCAATCTGATCCAATTTTGATCATTTTATTGAATTTCATCCTTATTTTAGATTAGTTGAATTAAATTCATTCCAATTTATAGTAGATTGAAATCTCTTCCTTTCCACTCTAATCAAATTGAGCTAGTCTATGCTTCATGAATGGTTTGGTTCATACAATTGCTTGTTAAAAATAAAATTATGGTGATTGAAATGATATGTTGTATCTTTTTTTTTTTTATTGGTTTAAGAGATTCAATAACGGAACTGATAAACTTGGATTTCAAAACCTCTGATCCAATCAAAATTACTATATTTCAGAGTATATTGATCTCAAGTCTACTGAATTTGGAAGTTCCATTTGATAACAAGGGAGGGAAGAGATAAGATACTAATTTTCTTGTCTCTTCTTTTTATCCAAAGTATGGGCGTGGAGAAAAATGAATTAGGAAAGTCAAATGCTATATCTTTCTCAGGTGTTCCTGATTTTTCTGAAAAGTTTAAACTCGTTCTGGTTTAAACCTTACCACGTTAGTTGGTCTATGGCCTGACTATCAGTTCTACATATTCCCCCTTTTTCTGTTAACAATGTATTAAATAAAATCACGATATTCTACGAAATTGAGGGAACTCCAACTTACTTTTGTCTGATTGGTCTTCAGGTTGTTACCAACTTGGAGGAATTGAAATTAAGTGGCAAAGACATTACAAAGATATTCCAGGGCCAATTTCCAGACCACCTTTTTCACAATCTTAAAATGCTTGAGGTCGTGAATGATAAGTCTGAAATTTTTCCACTTGGTTTCCTTGAGATATTTCGCAATCTGGAAAAGCTTGAAGTAAGATCAAGTTCATATAAAGAGATATTCTCTAATGGAAACATCATGAAATATGCCCCAATGCTTGAATGCATCAAAAGTTTGAAGTTGTGGAAACTTCCTGATCTGAAGTACATGTGGAGACAAGAATCTGAAATGGATTCTATTCTTCAAAATCTTGAGATTCTAGAAGTATGGTGGTGTGATGATTTGATTAATCTGGTGCCATCCTCAGTTTCTTTCCAAAATCTTACAATTTTGGAGTTATGGTATTGCAGAGGATTAAAAACCCTTCTAGCACCATCCACAGCCAAAAGTCTTGTGAGACTCGAAAAAATAAATGTAGAAGGATGTGAAATGATGACAGAAATAATAGCAAGTGAGGTAGATGTGGCAGAAAATGAGATTATTTTCAGAAAACTGGAGTTTTTGTCACTTGAAAATTTAGAAAGTCTCACAAGTTTCTGTTCTGGCAATAGCACCTTCAAATTCCCATCTTTGGAAGATTTATTTGTGATAGACTGTCCCAAGATGAAGATTTTCTCTACAGGAGTCTTACAGACACCAAGTTTAAATAAAGTTCGACAAAACCGGGGAGTAGATGAAGGGTTTTGGCAAGGTGACCTTAATGCAACCATAAAATGGCTAAGCAAAGAAAAGGTATGAATTAAGTTTGATTAGATGTCTATATTATATCATATCATATTATATCTTTCTTATAAGATAATTTGGATGTTTAAATTGCCCTTGATACTTATTTAATTTAAATAGTATGAAGTAACACTTCTTGGTAGTTCATTCTTTCACCCTAAAATATGTTATCTTTATGGTTACAGAATGTCCAGAGTTTTGAGGAAGATTGTGATCATCCTGTTATGCATCATTTGGAGTAAGGCCATTTCGCTATTTGATTTATGAGGTAGTGCCACAATTTTCTTTTGTTCAACTTATGCAACCCTTTGGCTTGGCTCTAATTTGGATATGGAGTCCACATTTGCAAACACTGAGCTTTACACTCAGACATGTTGAAGAAAGATAGAACCTGATAGATGTAGAAACCCGGTGAAAGATTCCTACTTGTCAATGCCACTGAGATACAATTATTTTCTGAGCAAGACTAGCAGAAGTCTATAAAGAAACAACATTATAAAGAATCTTACTGCCAGAAGCCTTGGAGTGCAAAATTTCAGCTAGCCATGATAATCAGGTGCTGTAATTGAAAGATGATGAAATTATTGTTTACTGTATTTCAACTCAGAACAATGCACCACAGTGAGACTCCTGAATTTGGCAAATTTTGTGTAATTTCCTGTCCAGTTTTTGAGCATTAAGTACTGCTTGAAAGATGGTGAAAGGGCCTTCGATTTATTGTTCTACTTAAATGTAATGATCCCATTCCCATCTACCATATTCATGGGCTCCCGAAACACAATTTAAGTACCATTTCCTGCATTTATTCTAGACTTGTTTGGTTTTGGTTGATCTTCTTTTCTGTTCTCTGATCAAAGACCAAAAAAATAAAAAAAAATTCGGCTATGCCCACAATATACATAGATTTTTGGTTCTTTTTATTTGTGCATGATCTTTGATTTCCGTACAAACTGTAGAGTCTGTTTGGTTAGGGCCAAAAGAGAGTTTGAGCTTGAGCTTATTTAAAAGTGTTAAAATTTCTATATTATTTTATGAATTTATTTGATTTTTTTTTTTTTTTATATATTAAAGTATTTTTGATAATTTAAGACAAGAAATTTTATTATATCTGTGTTACCAAACAACTAGCATTTTTCTATAAAATCTCTTACCTTTATGGCTTTATCAGTTGAACTTTCAGAACTCTTCGAATAAGCCCTATCAAGCGGACCCAACATGTCCACTAACATCAGGAGATTTTTTGTTATTTTCGATACCTTAGGAGGGAATTTGTAAACTTAAGGTTAATTTTTATAACGTCAAGAGTTCTTTTACTCATTTTTGAAGCCTTAGGAGAGACTCTGTTATTTAAGCTTACTTCAGGGATCTTTAGGATTAAATTTTTAAATTCAAATATTTTAAGCAGCAGCTGACAAACTGATCTCTTAACATTTTTCATTTTTCCCCACATCCTAGCTTAATTATTTTTAGTTTATCAAGTCAACTATGATTACCCAGACACAAAGGATTCTTATTGTTGATGTGAAATTTCGTATTTTCTAGAATGTCTAGCCATGAACACAAGTTAACTAGAGATACTCGATTTACCTAGGAAGAAACCGAGTAAGATGGATGCGTGATTCCGATGAATTAGCAAGGGTGAACGTGAGTGATTAGGACAAGGTCGAAGTCAATGGCAACGTTAGCTAATAACAACAATGAAGAGGTGAGCTTTTTAAAGTGGTTCGGTCGAGCAAGAAATCAAGCCTATATCCACTTGTGCAGGATGAAAATCTAGCTCGAGCTCGGAGAAATCATAGGGGTTTCAGTTTGAGTACTGCACATAACAAGTTGAAGAAAACACACCGCTCAAGATAGGTGTCAACTTTTGACGAACATACTAGATGTCAATAAGTTTCGACAATTGCTGCGACACTTGGTAGGCCTACTTAGTTGCACGGTTACCACATGCAGTACATGCAACAACTTTTTCTAACCAAACGACTACTCACTGACAAACTCAAGTTAATTACAGCTATGGCCATGATTAAGTGTAATAATGACTTGACAACCTCAATCGCCCAAAATCTGTTAGACCAGACAACAATCATTCCACTAGTGTAACTCCCACTAGCAACCACCATCGCAACTCTTATAAATACTTATTTGAAACCTTGAAAGAAAGGGGGAGAGAAAAAGCAGACAAAAATAGAGAAGAGAAAGAAGAGAGAGAAAGTACTCTACCTTTATTATAATTCTTTGTAATCACTCATCTCAAAAATACAACTAGTGGATGTAGGCTTAATTTCTTGCTTGGCCGAACTACTTTAAAAAGCTTGTCTCTTCATTTTCATTATTAGCTAACTTCGCCATTGACTTCGACCTCATCCTAATCACTCTCGTTCACCCTCGCTGATTCCACATAATCACGTACCCATCCTGCTCAATTCCTTCCTAGGTCAATTGAGTATCTCTAGTTGACGCTTATTCACGGCTCAACATTCTAGTTGTTTCAAAATTTCACTTGGGTTCCACCCTTCCTTCCTAGGTCGACCGAGTATCTTTAGTTGACGCATATTCACGACTCCCTTAGCTGGCTTCCACATTCATGGCCACCCAAAAGATGCTAAGTACTTTTTTATGTTTGTGCTTAGCTTGTATTGCATGTAATGGGAATTCTTTGAGTGATTTTGTAGTTCTTGTTTCAAAATCATTGGTGGTGAAATTAATTTGTTATTCAAGTAGCCACCATGTATGAATAGTAATGGTAATGTTTTATAACAAATGGTTTAACCCAAGCCTTTCTTTATACAACTGTTGATATTTTATAGAAATTCTTTGGCTTAGTGCTCCCTCTCTTTTATCTTTTTTAGTTGGATGACAAAACTCTGGATTTAGCCTCTAATTTTGAGGTTGGGGGTTTAATTTTTGTTTCTAAAATCATAGGGGTAAGGTGATTTTGGGGTTTAGTGTTGACAAAGTCTGATACCCTTAGTTTCAGAAATTAACAATATCACCCCTAATTTTCAAATTAAGACATGAAAGTCAGCAGAAAAAAAAGAAGGTGATACTGTTAGTTTTTGAAACTAGAGGAGTACGATGTTCTTAAGCCATAATAAAGGGTAACAATTAATTCTGTTCATCCTTTAAAATTGTAACATTTAAGGGAGGTCAAAGTCTTTCTTTTTATAATTATTAAATTTTATAGAAAGTTTTTGCTTAGTGCTCTCAATAATTTGATCTTTTTAGCCGGATAAAAGACACTTTGGACTTTGGATTGGTTAGCTTTACCAAATATTTTATTATATATGCTTGGGTTAATTTTAGCACCCCCAATGGGATTGAATAATATAACGCAAGCCACAGTTCTTGGAAATCTTCAATTGACCCTTGACGTTATTCCGTCAAATAGACAAATATGCTAATAAATATTCAGTTATTTTTTTATTTTTTACCTTTCGTATTTTTTCCTTTTACTAATTTTCTTGGAAAGTTCTCTTTTCCTTTCATTCATTTTCTTGGAAAGCTCTCTTTTCATTTCATTCTTTTTCTTGGAAAGTTCTCCTTTCCTTTCATTCTTTTTCTTGGAAAGTTCTCTTTTAGTTACCACTTCATTAATTGAAAATTGAGTTAATAACATTAACCCCTTAAGGTTTGATTAAATAACAAAAATCTTCCTAAGGTTCATGAAAAAAACAGAAATTATGCTAGTGTTAAGTTTTAAATGTTAAAATGAACGGTAGGAGGGGAATTTTGGTAAACATTTATAAAATCATAATAGAGTATGTTCTGAGGGCTCATTATCCGTTTACTAACCGTAGGGGGATTTTTGTTATTTCCAAACAGTAGGGGGATTTTTGATCTTTCTATGACACCTAGCCACACAGGTGGATGTTTTAACTCTTAAAACCACATATGAAAACTCAAACAATAGTCCAAATAAATTCCTGCTCACAGACTCTTCACCATAATCACAGTGTTGATCTTCAACTAAATCAAATATAGTTCACAGTCTCGACGACTACGAGACATTTCGCAACCACTATCCTCCTCTAACTATAATTCTCCACCTTTGAGCTAGATCAGACCGATTACACCAAAGGTATTTTTTTTTTTTTTTTTTTTAAATTATTGTAAGCTATGGGAAATTGCTCTAAACTTCTGAGGTTTTCATGTAACAAACACTTTGAGGTTTTTAGTAACAGGCAGTTTACTCATTGTTCTCTACAAATTCTCATAACCCTTGCTTATTTCCAGTTTAATCAACTATGATTATTGACATCCAATCCAAGTGATTTCTTATTTCGCAATTCTAGTGTAGCTGTCTTATTGTGTGGTCTCTGTTTTATTGTTACAGCCCTTCAGAACTAGTTGAAAATGGAGGAAACGGTTGGTTCCTCTGCTCTCCAATCCTGCACTGATTTGATTGGAGATCAGTTTAGTCTTTTGTACAACTACAAGACCAACTTTGAGAATCTAAGGGCACAAGTTGAGAAGCTGACCCTTGTCAGACAGCGTGTGCAGCATAAGATTCTGGGTGCTGAAAGAATTGGGAAAAAGGTAGAACGCGGCCTTATGGTGTGGCTCAACAAAGCGAACAAGCTCATTGATGAGGCCAACACGATGATGGAAGATGAATGGAAAGGAGAGGATAGATGTTTTGGGTGGTTATGTCCTAATCTGGGAGCCCGCCATCAGCTTAGTAAGAAAGCTGTGAGGAAAGTCAAGGCTATGGCTTTACTCCTTTCTCGACCAGAAATATTCCAAGAAGTACCCTCCCATAATATTCCAGATGAGATTTCCA